ATATATATTATTGATGACGATAATATAATGAAACTGACCAAAGGAACCATCAGTCTTGGATAACCCCATTTTGCTTTGACAATGGACGGTCGTCTTGAACAGGTTAACTGTACAGTATTTGTTAATACTTACGGCCCCATCACCATGATTTAGGATAGTTGGAGTTGGGCCCCTTCAAGCCTTCCTGTCAGGGCCAACCAAGCCAGAGTGAGATTATAGTAGTGCAGTCAAAATTTCGTGTCGCAACCTATCCTCAAATATCTTTTTAACGGGTGAATCAATGTCCCCCATACTTTGCACATCAGTTTGTATCAATTTGTCTTGACTCAATCATATTTTTTCCACAACAATTGAGGCTAGATTTTAAATAACTTTACTTCATAAATTTAAATAAAATACAACACATCTTCTTCATACGGAAAATGGGATTGTTCACAGCACTTCCCACTTCTCACGCACATTTTGCGTACGCATATGGCCTATGTCACAGTTAACCAATGACACTTTTTAGTGGCAAAACTAGTTACATGTACAAGAAAATAATTTCACAGTGAACACTTTTTTGCACTAAATGTCCTCAAAACGTGCGTTCAATAAACATAATAACGCGATAACGGACTTTCTTTATTTTAAAAGCAATATTTTCCCAGCTGTAGCTTAATCTTTAAAAATCTATTGTAGAAACCACCCACTGGGATTTTAAAAAATTTACAATGAAAGTATTTTGTAGAATTGAGCTAAAAGGTGTTTACAAAAATATTGATCTGTTTGAACAAATTGATACAAGTCACTGGTGAATGTATGTTCGATAGTTGAGGAGATATTTGACAAAAATTTGCGCCAAGAATTTCTGACCGCACTTTTTGTAGGTAGGCTATATCCCAGCTGAAAGATGTTCTATAACATTGACTTCCCTTCATGAGAATCTTACTCACTTTTTCTGTGTGCCCCGGGTGAGAAGAAGCTTACATATCAAAAGGAAAATTGAATGTTTTAGACCCACATCGACACAAGTTAGATCATTTACTGATTTAGTACGCAGACTTTAGCTCTGCGTGTCAGGT